AAGAAAATTAGGTCGCAGTGGATCACGTCGCGCTGGCTCTTTCTCTTCCTCTCTCTCTCTCTCTCGCTGGTTCTCCTGTTCTCTTCCTCGCTGCCTCCCTCTATCGACATTGTTATTAACGCGACCGCGATGAATTATCATCGGGCGAGACGCACTATCGCGCAACCCGCAATTATCCGCCCGGTTATTAAATTTAAGCGGCATAGTATTTAATTATCGTCGGACGAGGTGTTGCCGTGCGTATTAGCGCTGTGCCATAATTTACTCGATTACGTTATAGAACGCTCGATAGCCGATAATTCGTGGCCGTTGTGAAGAGACGCCATCTGAGGGAGGACGGCTTTACGCGATTTTCCCGCGGTGTGCGCGCAATCGTGACAATAAGAAAAAAAAGAAAGAAAAGATCCAAGCAATTCAGAGGAATGTCTTTAGCGTCACCGACGACTACACCCGAGGAATTTCGACGGTAATGAGTGGCTTATCGTCCGGACACTTATCGGTTGGCACTTTCGCCCAAGTGGATTTGCCTAATTAAAGGGACAAGATGTAAACGATTTTATTTCCATCACGGCTCGCGCTATCTACGTATCTCGTCGACCATTCGGAACGAATAAGTGGGTATCCCCTTGTCCTCCGTTCTCTCTTTCTTTCTCTCTTTCTCTCTTCGCGGAACTCAAGTAACGCGCTTGAACCACTACGACTATAAGTGCCTGTCGAGTGCGCTATGACGTTGGTTTGATTAACGACAAGGATACTTGAGTAAACAAATAACACGCTTAAACTCACCGGACGGATAGACGTTTGGATATATACGTAGAAACGGCAATAATTTAGATTTGAAATATTGAAGATGGCCCGCGATTGCTGGTAATTGCTCAACGAAGACAGTAGTTTAATTGCAATCTTTTTACTCCCATTCATATCAATATTTATTATTTCATATTATTTATTATTATTATTTATTTCATATTATTTCGTATTATTTCATATTATTTTATATCGATGTTCCCGAATTGCCGACAAGACTAAAACATACGTTTTTCTTCGCTCTGAATTCTTGCCACAAGTAAATTCGAGTCAGAACCTATTAATTTCGCCGAGACTTTATCCGCGAGAAATTTCAATTCGAGCCTTCGTTGCGGGAATGTTCAATGTTGAGAATGAAAAACGGGAGAGCCGAGCGGAGGAAATAATCGATGGCGTCGATCGTGAGTCGACGGGTAGTCTTCAGAAGTAAGCTGCGCGAGGTAAGTTTGCCTCCGGAGAGGTGTCTTGTCGGGATTGTCGCGAATAGAATCACGCAAGCTGTGCCCTCGCTTCCTCGCAACGCCTCGCCTCGCCTCGCCACGCCGCTGAACCTCTTTGCATATACATTCTGTAAGATTACTTTGTGCGGTTTACACCCGCGCCGTCCTTCAGCGCGCGCTGCGCTTCCAGCCCTCGACTCCTCTCTCGCCGGGAGGCAAACTACCCTCCAAGTTTCACCCAAGGTCCCTAATGTATGCGGAACTATACGGCAGAAATTCCAAGTTCGGCATGGCCGTGTTAGGCGCCTTTACGATGAGTTTCCACCCTCTCGTTCTCTCTTTCCAGCGCCCTCCGCGCGCCCCGCGCAGAAGGGGACGAGGAGACTGCCGACAAGACTCGGCCCGTATAAGAGGCGAACACGCGTGATCCTAATTAGAACGCGTCCTCGAGGTGCCGAAGTAAAAGCGAACTTCTTGTTAGGCGTCTCGAGGAAGACGCCGTCGGCATTCGCGCACATATAGCGAGCGTACGAGCGAGCGCTGCATTTTCGTGAGCCATCTCGTAAAAGGACTCCGCGCGTTCCTGCCCTCACCACGTCAACATTTCTAAACGAACATCTCTACTTTCCAAGAATCTTTACTTCCGCGGCAATTATAAATGGTAATATTTACGCGAGAAGCTCGCGACGTTACGGTCGGTCGATGAAAGCAGCGTCTCGCACGGTAGCGCGCGGATCCGAGGGGATTTACACGGATCGCTAGCTGGAGGTATTCATTATTATTCTCGCGTCATAGAGAGGCGATTCACACAAAGTAAAGAAACCTGAGGTTACCGCGAGAATTCTCACGAGGGCACGACAGTTAACATATCTCGCCACCCGCGCTCGTCGTATTTACATAGAAAAGAAGCTGCCTGAGCAGTCGGAAAAACATAATGCTTACAAACGGCCACATTAGTCATGTTACACGGGTGTAATGCGTTACGCTTTGACGATTAGCTTACGTCCGAGGGCACTCCTTGTCGCTCGCACACGTCGAATTTCGACAATTTAAACGAAAAGATCGGACTTGCGATTTGATGCCAAGGAGGTGAGAAAATCTCTGCGCAAGTTGTTAAAAAATGCCAATTCTTTCAAAGTTGTTAGTAATATTCGATCTGTGTAAAAGTTTCTACATGTCACCTCGATTTGATCCCCGCATTTATGAGCAATGAAAAATGCCAATTTTTTCAAAGTTGTTTTAGCGATATTCGATCTGCGTAAAAGTTTCTACATCATTGCTACGATCTGATCCCTCCATTACTACGCTCTTCCCGGTATAAGCCACCGCCGTGACGAGCTTGTCGCGCATTCGATGACTGGTAACGAGCCGTTCGAAGAAAACACGAATGGAAAGTTACGTGAAATGTGTTGATATGGCAATTGGTCGCGGCGAACGGCACGGCACGCGACACCGCGCTAGACGAAACGGTCATTAGGGATGCGAAGGGCGGAATGGCGCGGCCACGTTGCATGATAATTACTTGTGAAGAAAGCCCGACGAGGTGGCGGCTCTACCCACGGGCTTCCCAGGAGATTACAGGATGTCCGGAGGCGAGAGGATTCTCCCCGCATGGCCCGAAACCCTTTCCACGCGTACAAGCAATAAAAATTAACGGCTCGCCCGGTCAAGTCGTATATGAAAGGCGGCCCGCCGCGACCGGACCGCGGCCGGTGAGTAATACATAATTATCACGGGCCATTCAATGTATACGCGCCGCAATAAACAGTCCCTTTTGTAACGAAACACCCGTATAGAGAGAAACGTGTCAAAATCCTTGGTCGAGCGTTAATGTCTTGTCCAAATCTCCCGGCGCGAAAAAGAAATCAGTTTTGTAAACGAAGACTGATCATGAATACAATTAACATTTCAGGTAGACGCGAGATGTAGACTAAACAATTCCCGATACGACATTAATAAGACAAATTAATTATTTCTCGACTGTGAGAAAAAAATTAAAGTCATCTCACATTCCTGGTGGGATAATAAATTACAGAAGTCAATTTTTTGTTGACACGAAGATATTGTGAGTACAATTAACATTTCAGATAGACGCGAGATGTAAACTAAAAAATTCCCGATACGATATTAATAAGACAAATTATTTCTCGACTGTGAGAAAAAAATTAAGGTCATCTCACATTCCTGGTGAGATAACAAACTAAAGAAGTCAATTTTTTGTAGATACGAAGACATTATGAATACAATTAATACTTAAGGTAGACGCGAGATGTAGACTGAACAATTCCCGATACGATATTAATAAAATAAATTAATTATTTCTCGACTGTGAGAAAAATTAAGATTGTTTCACATCTCTGATGGGATAATTAATTAAATAAGTGACTTTTTTTTGTAGACGAAGACAGATTATAAATGCAATTAACATATCAGATTAACGTGATGGGTATTGAAAAAATTCCTGATATTCCTGATGTTAATAAAGGAAATTAATTACTTCTTTATTGCAAGAAAATGTGAAAGGTCTTCTCACACGTATGATGGGATAATTAATGAAGAGCGGAAATTGAATAGATGTCAATTACTTAAAAAAATAACGTATACGTACGCGGAATGGGTACGAGATGGGGGTATAGTTTCCCCGAAAGGGCCAACCAAATTATGCCGCAACCACGCGCGAGCGCCGAGAGCACGATCCGGTCATAATCGGCCGAAGGAAGCGTGGAACGGCCGCTTCCTTCCTCTTTCCGCGGAGTATCTTAACCGGTCGGCGCCTTTAATCGTGAGGCCCGATAAACATATCGAAATTATGATGGAGGATCGGCGTATCCTGCGCTCCGTCCGCACGGAGCTTTGCGGTCAGTCGCGGCGGAAAGGAGTCTGCTTTTCCCACTCCCAAGCGCGCTCTCTCTTCCTCTCCAAACTCGTGGGAGGGGGAGGGGGCGCCCGCTTCCTCCACTTTTAATTTTCAGGCGCGGCTAATTATGATTTACGGCAACATCGGCGCAACATCCTGATCGCTACGCGAGATACCGCCCGCAGGATATTCAAATGCGATGAATATTGCTTGCTGCGATAAACGACGTACGAACGACGAGAGAAACGGAGAAAAGGAGACGGGAGGTCGCGAGGAGGATGACGAGAAGGAGAGAGAAAGACCGATGAAAAAAGAGAGAGAGAGAGAGAAAGAGGGAGAACGAGCGCGAGTGCGCGTGTAAAGGATACGGAGAAAGGATTCCTAGTAGCCTACTCGGTATGCACGATGAGCAGTCAGCCTTGTACACACCGCATCCTTCCTCCCACTTCCCCCCAAAGGATGTATAGGCATCCTTGCGCGTGGATCGTTCCGTGCCGAATCGCTCGTCGGAGTATTTAAAGCCCGGCGGGATAATTCAATACGGGACCTGAACCCTTTGTGTCCCCGCGTGTGTTTGGAAAACATAAGCGACCGGTGCTGTCACAACACGACCGTCATGATTTAACTCCCGCGAGGAAGCCGAGAGGTGTACGACCGCCTTCGCCGGAGGCGCGCGGCGCGGATACTCGACTCCAGAAATTCGCCCCTTTACGATTCGATAGACCCCGCCATATTTTTTTTTCGCGAGCGTATTTTCGTCTCGTGGCGCTGTTTGTCATGACTTTCTGTTCTTTTTCTCTCATGAACCGTACTAAAGGTTCGTTTCTTTCTACTTCCACTTATTTTCTCCAATAGCATGCAGCGAAATAGAAGAAAGATGTAAATAAGTCACTTACTTTCTCTGTCCGTTTCTTAGTGGGAGTAGTTGTGCCACCGCTGGGTCTGCTGGGAAGATCGGTCTCGCTGGCCATACGGTTGAAACGTTGCATCCGTTCACGAACGCTCAACTGCTCAGCCGACCCAGGATTAGTCACAGTTGCTTCATCCTCCTGCAATTTAGAATTAGAACAAAGAATACAAGTACTGGAACGAAATATATTTTTAAGAGTGTTAAATCACATTTGTTACGTAAGATCTTTTGATTTAAACGAACGTGATAAAGGATAACACACGTTTGGGTCACAAAAAAAGGTAACACTCGAAACGAAAATAACTATTTATAGCATTATAGAGCAACAGCCTGTAGAAGGTTACATCTCGATTCTTGGTTCTTCTAAGGAACTTGCAGGATTAATGAACCCTGCATATAGAATCCTGCAAATTCCTGAGACAAATATATTTTGAGTTACTTATAATTTAATAATTATAATTTCTCATAATTTTGAAATTACTTATAATTTAATAATTATAATTTCTCGTAATTTTGAAATTATTATCCTTGTTAAATATTTATTAATAGCTATAGGAAAATCTGTTTGAATGTTTTACATTACGTCTTTAAGTTCCATTAAATTTGTAGAATTAATGTAGAATCAACATTTTGTCTGAGGTTATTTATAATTTAATAACTTTAATTTTTCCTCATAATTTTGAAATTATTATCCTGAGTTTTGCTGTTAGTAACTATAGCAGACTCTATTTGAATACTTTGAATACTACATTATATCTAAATTCTCTATTAGTTCTTCAAAGTTCACTAAATTTGCAAAGTTAAGGTACAGAATCTAGATTTTGAATAGGGCTTTTTATAATTTAGTGATTGTAATTTCTCATGATTTTGAGATTACTATCCTGAACCTTTATTTTTAAGAAGTATAGCAGACTCTGCTTGAATACTTTGCATATGCATGATTCACCGTTTCCGCGTTGCATGTTAAAATATGTGATGATATCATGAACATATCCGTCGTGATTTATAATACTGAGTGAATTGAAGAGAACAGCACGGCATAATCTTCCGGCACGCACACAAAACAATTTGCGAAAATCTTACCTTTATGACTGCTTCCGAGAAGCCTTTCATATTCTTCTCGATGTTCTCCTTGTTCTCCAATTTGAGCTTGTCCTGACTTTTGCGGCGCGGTGGAACCGGGGGCGATGAAACCGGCGTGCCGAGCTCTGAATTATCAGTCGCGCCATACTCCGAATTATCGTTCCTCCTAATCTCTCCGTGCTCAGAAATCGTCGTCGTTCGATCCTCCTCAAGACTCACTTGAGAATTATTCACTGTCGGGCTGAGGGGTGCGGGAGGTGGTGGCCGGTACGGTGGAGGTTCTCGTAGAGGAGAAACAGGTAAATCGGGAGTGGTGATTGAAGGTGGTGATCCCACTTGCTGAGGGAGCGAGAGGTCCCCCAAGGAAACTTGCCGGTATTTCTTCTTGAGAACCAGATACTTTTCGCCCTACGACAATATACACTTTGATAACACTCTACGCGGATAATTTGATAGAAACGACGAACAATATACAACACACTACACAGTGTTGAAGCGCAAAAATAACTGCGGTAATGGCGAATTCAGAAATGATAGCTAGACAAGAACGCTGTCCACGCGTTAAAAATTTCGAATTGATCGCGCTCCGCGAGTCGAGCCGGCAACGTCGCGTCGCGCAACAAGTCGCTCCCGTCAAGAGCCAGAAAGGAGCCGCGAGCCAATAACCTACCTCTTCGTTCTTTATGGTGGCCAGGGTGTTGACATACTCCTTGAACCGATTTCTGGCCTCGACTGTAACGAGAAAACGTACGTTGCACTGCGCTGAGTTTCACATAGCTGCTGGGTCGAGCGAGTCGCTCGTGTGTTTACATCACGACGGACGCGAAAGACGTACACGTCGCGCACGAGACGCGTCCTCGGTGTCGCGAGCGCGATTGTAGCCGCGGACATTCAACCCACCTCGCGTCTCCGGGTCCGTCAGGAACCGCTTGAAATGCTTCACTAGGTCGTGATTGCGCGCCGTACCGCCGTTTTCCAATAAATAATTCCGAATCTCCTCGAGGGACAGCTCACTAGGCGACGCCATCTTGGTCGTACTGTCAGGCGCGACAGTGCCGCGCGCGGCGGTCTGCGAAGCAGAGTGACGCGTCGGTAACTACGATCGCTGCGGGTGCCGCCAAGCGGAATGGTTAAAGGCTCTCACACATGAATTGCTGTAGACGTAAGCTTCAGCTGAAAAAGAGAGTTAAGATTTTCCTAACATTTTATATACTTTAGAAGAAAATAAAACTTGCAGTAAATCTAATCGTGCGTAAAAGTAACTACACAGAAAATACAATATATCCAGAAAAAATACTTGAAAATTTTATTTGTGGAATATAAAGTTTATTCGAAATGAACTTTATTTCACAGAAATATATTTTGTTTCGTATAAATAAATTTTATATTACAAATAAATTTTCAAGTATTTTTTACAAGTAAATTATAAAAATAATTTATAACATAAAAATATATAATATAAAAATACATAATATAAAAGTATATAATATAAAAGTATTTGTTACAAATAAATTTTAAAGTATTTTTTTCCAGTGTAATACATGATAAATGTCACTCCAACCGATTTAACTTGCCACAACCAGATCACGTGCATTGATGTAGTTGATGTAGTTGATGTACTGTAAAGTAACTGAGTGATATTAACTATATGTATTACTATCATACAAAGATAACTAAAGTAATGAAACTATGTTACTCACAACAAAATATTTTTTATCATCATATATTTTGTTCCGTGTAGGATTCATCTAATTGAAATTCTCATTACACGGTCTAAATCTTACTTATACGATCACTTTAATCCTTCTCTAACTAGAAGAATCTTGAACCAATATCCCGATTGATTTTTTAGTTTAAGTTTATATTTTATGCTCACGGTTACGGCAATTCGTGTGCAAAAGCCCTAACAAACGTGGACTGCAACGGGAAAAACCTGACGCACGCTTTTTTAATGTTTCCTTATTTATAAACATTTACGCGGCAGATAAGACTGTTGCGTGACAGTGCAAATCGCGTGGGACAGTTGAATAATAATGGATAATACGTATATATAGCCCAGCAATTCTGAGCTATCCATTACCTGTATAATTATACGCGTACAATTTATGTCGTGTTCTCGATATACATATCACTATTTCCATTTCGCGAAATGATATACTTTGTCAATCGCGTCTAATAAATCATACATACTGACTAAAATTGTCGATAAACGTGTAGAATGTTATGCATGTATATTTCATGGCCACGAGAAGTATCTATCGATGTTGGTGCGCTTAATGAAATATTTTATTCAGCTTGCACAAATAGACGATTCTCGAAAACCTTTTAGCGGCGTGCAACGTTATTCCATGGATTTCCAACGTTCGAGCGAGACGCGTTTCTCTCCGTCGGTCGGATTAAATACTGTATTTCAAACGCGCCGGCACATATTAACGGAGACGGTACAACGCGGAGAGTGCATTTAACGCTTTCCGCCGTAAGCTCTTTACGATCGAGGATCAAAACGCGCACGAAACGCGCTTCGGGCCAGACCTTTTTTACCAGACGTTCAGGCGAAATCGTAATCTGTCCCTGCCACTGTTGGCGTGAGGCATCGCCCGGAACACGCGCCTCTATATTTATTCAACGACCAATTAGTAACCGGCGCGATAAATTCCGACTTAATTTACGGTCTACTATAATTTTCTCTGTACTTTTAAGAGCGTACCATGGGAGAAAATAAGAGGGACGCGCGCGAAAGAGGCCTGCATGCATCTGTGTGTCGGGTCTGTATTTAAACATTTACGCGCATGTCGATCGTCGCGGGTATTAATTAACGAGAGAGAAAATCCGAGAAACGACCCGTTGCTACGCTGTCCTGTTCCCTCTTTCTTTTTAGCCAGTGTTGTTCGACTTTATAAATTTTAATACGTCGTTATGAGCACATTGTAGATACCATTATGTCTCGCTGCTGTATTTACACGCATATGTAACGAACCGGTTAACATATAAAATTAGTGAAAATATCGCAATATATATTCACTTCCTGCGGCCCCTAAGGGGTTAAAAACTATTACACAGCGTGATGTACATCGACGAATTCTCGTTAGCTGTACAATCACGCGCCCGTAACACATACATAAACACGTACGCACGCACACACGACAACGGGGTTCTTATTAACAGTGCCTCATAATTAAGAAAACGACCTTACTAATCACCCTCGATGTGTAGAAATACACGTAAACCGAAGGAGTCGAGAGGGTGCGAGAAGGGCGGGTATGCGTGCAGCACGCAGGGCGCTGCACGCGTATGTGTATCCGTGGACCGGAAGCGAGGCGGTGCCTTTGTAATTAAACCCCCTTTATCGGCGATATTCTAATGAAACGACGAGTAATGATCGAGCGCGGCTCGCATTGGCGCGGCAACGATCGCGTAGGTATTTCCTGGCAAACATCCATTTGCATTGCGTACGAACACGTTCCGTGTAATTTTAATTTAAATCCTCTAAATGATTATCTCACCAGAGAGCAGGAGATGAACAAATTTAAAAAATTCGACGATACAAACAATTATCATAAAGAATTACATAATATCATAAAATCCACTCATCACCAAATTCATATCGTAAAATTCATATCAGAAAATGTTATACAGACGCAATGGAAATAATCTCGAGATAAAAACTTCGCGAAATAATATTTCTGTTACCAAAAAAATATCCATTACGTTACAATACGACAGTAAAGCAGTGGATATATATGGAGAAAATGTTGTAGTAAAAATTATCTTAAAATTATACTTTTTTTCCGCGCGCAGATGTTTGTACTAATAATATAATATATTTATCATAAAAATAATAAAGTTGGCCATCTATCTGTATGGTATAAAGAAATATTCAGTTACAATAATTTTGTAGTAAGAATAAGGTGACCAGACGTCCCGACTTTTTCGGGACACTCCTGAATTTTCACCCTCTGTCCCGAATTTTTTCGAGTGTTATTCGGGATACCAATTTGTCATCATTTTCAATGACTGTCAAATAATATTTTCGGATCTTTTTACCTCCCTCCTCTCCCCAGTTTTACACGTTTATGAAGTGTCCCGAATTCAGAGCTGGGAAATCTAGTCATCTTACATATATCGCGAGGAGAAACGAGAAGATTACTTACAAATAACGTCTTCACGATACGCCCCGGCGATCGCACATCGCTATTCTCGACACTCCCGACTTATTTCCGCGCGAGACTTATTTTTGACAGGTTAAAGGCGCGTAAAATGCGGAGCTATGTGGATCAATGTGTCCACGGTGGTTGCTCGATGCAGAAAGATCGAAAATAAAGATGGTCGCGCGATTGTTGAATCGCGCTGAAAATATACGCCAATATGTGAACGGCGCGGCGGCCGAAAAGAACGCGCTCTATAAGATACTTCTCTTTCTGTATCTCTTTTCCTAATAAGTTGGCGCAACTGCCCGAATATTTCGCATCTCTCTCTCTTTCTCTCTGATTGTCATCGCATTTCTAATTCCCGTTCAACAAATCCGATGATCGTCCGATTCTATTGCTACTTGAGCGAGTCGATGTTTTTAGCAAATGTAAGGGACGTCAGCGCGACACGTCGCGACAAGCACCGGCCGCATATACCGCGAGGAGAAACGAGAAGATTACTTACAAATGACGTCTTCACGATACGCCCCGGCGATCGCACGTCGCTATTCTCGAAACTCCCGAGACTTATTAACGCGAGACGCACTTTCGACGGATAAAAGACGCGAGAAACGCGGAGTGATGTGTGCCCATGGCTGCTGCTTGGCGCGAAAAGATCGAGCATTTCGCGCGATTCATTACCAACGCCTAAATTGAATAATCACGATGACAACCTTGTAGTGTGAAACGAACGCGATTGGTTAAGGCGTCCACCGTAGATCGCGTCGTTGTAGACGCGCGACCTCGTTCGCATCCCTGGTGCATTCACATTCATGCACTTTTCACATTTGCGGCGCGCTAATGAACTTTTGGTGTACGTGATTGACAGCGCGCGCGTCTGCAATCTTTTCATGCCGAGCAACTGCCATAAACACAACGCTCCGTATTCCATACGTCTTCCGCTTGTGTCCTGTGAGTCTCCTGCGTAAGTATTAGAGTGCCGAAAACAACGACGTGCGGTCGTCAGAATATATCGCAAGTACATTATTATGGAGTAATCTCCTACTTTCTTGACACATACAACTAAGGTGACCAGACGTCTCGATTTTTCACCCTTTGTCCCGAATTTTTTCGAGTGCTATTTGGAATACCGATTTGTCATCATTTTCAATGATTATCAAATAATTTTCGAATCTTTTTATACTCTTCCGCCCGTACCTCGTTTCACACATTTATGAAGTGTCCCGAATTCAGGGCTGGGAAATCTGGTCACCTTATGTAAGAAATTAAGCATGCATTTTTCAAGAAATATATAGCAATTTCGAGGACAATACTGCGTATGGTCCAAGATGACAAAAACTTTCTCGTAATCTTTACTACAATATTTCCTCTGTAAAGGAAGGCGATCAATGGGAATAGCAGACTCGAGCGCGCTCTCGAAGACGACGAACGAGGAGTCCGACAAACGTGGAGGCAGGTCTGGCGAAATGGTCGCAAAGAGAGGATTTTTGCTCAAGGGGTTTGCACGCGCGTAACCTTCTGTCGCGAGCCGCGGCCGCGGTGACCCCGAGCGAGTACATACGTGTGTACCGACGTCTCGGCGCGCACCAGCGAGCGCCTCTAACCCGACACAATTCCGCGGGCGCTCTCGGCGAGGGGATTGATGCACGGGAGATTGGGCATGGGAGGTATTCCCGCGGCGAGCAACAAAATGCGCGGGGTCGAGGTCCGCCGTCGAGGGGCCCCCGGGGGGTGAGGCGCGATATGACCGAGCGGCGAGAGGAACGAGCGGTCGGGAACGAGGACAAAGGATCGCGTCGACGCCCCGCGGTCCCGTAGGTGCATCCGCGATATCATCTACCCGTGTTTCTCTGCGTTATGCTTATGCCTACGTGCATACGTAAGAGATGCGCGAGTCGCCGCGATGCGCAAACGGGCGCGTTCGTCGGCGTGATTTGCCGCGCGAGATTCCGCCGAGCGGAGGAGAGCCGCGCGACGACGAGCCCTCCGTCGGCTATCCGCGTTGATTATCCTGCCGCTTTGCGC